TATAGACAACGTTCAAATCGCACAAAAATAATATTTTATGATTTAACTTTTCATGGAATAACTACAGACCAATTCAGTAACCTTATCCTATTCTATTTAATTGGTCTCTTTCTGAAATTTAAACAATTGCATAACATGAAGAGCCATAGAGGCGCTTTTAGAAATCTTATTCCCCTGCAGTTATTGCAATTCAGGATTCATTCACCCACATGAAAACTATTTTTGCACTTAAAAGAATAAAAATAACCCTCTTAACCTTATTAGGCGAAATTATGCGCATAAAAGAATTTGGAATGTTTAATATAAACCAGACTGGATGATGACTGAATAGCCTGGAATACATTTTGAGAAGGTAATATTGTTGTGGAAATACATGCATATTTTACTTTTTAAAACTTTCATCTTTAACTATGTGATATATATTGCATTTTCTATTTTCTTTAACTATGTAAAATTACTGCACTTATATAAAGAACATTTTCAAACATATATACCATTATTACCGATAACTGTTCAAATTAATGGTCGGAATTAAAACAGAGAAGTATAAAAGTTAATAATGCGGGAGTTATATGTATCACAATTTAAAATACCAAGATTAAAAAAGTATGCAGATTTACTTAATCACAACAATAATTAATCATTTACAATTTGTTCTATGTGTATGATTTACCTTCTCAACACAAACACTACACTTTGCCTTGCGCGATTTTTGCTGAACACAGTTTCCCCCCCCGCCGATATTGGGCTGAAGAGAGAATTTTTTAGAAAGCGTCTTTTGATGCTATTTCCCTCTTGGGGTCAAAAAATTCCTACCAATGATACGGCAATTTTTTGCAATTCAAAATGGCGGGAAAAACTGCACCAAGTGTCGCTTATCTGAGATTTCCCGGAATGTACATAGCCCACTCAAGCTCTACGCAGAAAACGTATCTTGGATGGACTACTGTAAATATCTACGAGTGTACCTGGATTCGAAGCTCATTTGGAATATCCATATCAATCATGTCCAAAACCTGGACTACAAGAACCCAACTTATGCAACTCATCTCCAGATGAAGAAGCATCTCTCACAATAACAAAGTTCTGCACACAAACCTCATCATGCCAACCTACGACACTCAAAAATCAGGAGACTTTTTTTTAAGAAATCAGAAGATTCTTCACAATGTTAAAAAGACTTTTTAAATGATAAAAATATAGTTTTTAATAATGAATTAACTTTAAATAGTAACTCATTCTTAAATGCAAGCAACACAAAATTACCATACACATAAGAAATCTAATGTGTACACCACATGACTTCCTTGTACGAAATATTAAATTATACGAATTTTTTCTTGATTTCGTTTAAACTTATTGGATTTAATTTAATCTACTTTGCCGACAGCGCATAAACCACAATAGAATAAATGCATTCTTTAAAATTCACTCTAGTATTTGTTTACCATAACGAAACTCTGGCGCACAAAATTTATATCATTTAAAGAATAGAATTATCTAATCGTTGCCACATGTTCTATTCAAATACTATAATAAAGCTAGAACGATGTATAAAAGAAATTAAGCAAACAAAAAAGAAACAGTTTTTCACAGACGATTGAGTATTTCTCATTCAATTAATTCAGTTCTCATTTCACGATAAGGCAAAAATACATAAAATCTTAAACACTTATTTCCTTGAAAAATTAAAGAAAGGATTAAGCATGATTCAATTCGCAATAATAAATGAAGGCGATATCTTGGTTGTTGTGAAGCTACGTTTCTCTAGATTGGCAACAAATCCACTACTCTGCTGTTTCAAATGTAAACAAGCAATAGCCGCCATCAAAAAAATTATTTGGCTTAAAAACAACTTAAAGTGGCACTTAAACAACTTTAAAATTGATGATAATTCTAAAAATATTGCATACAGATTTACTAAAGACATAAAAATCTTAACCGAAAGACAAGAACAACATAATTCAATCATTTTTAAAGCAAAAAATGTACAATTTACAAACATATAATAGTAAACAAATTGAGATCACTGAGCCAGGTAACAGAGTGGATATATAGTATATAAATATATTTATATACGTTTGGCGCGGCCGATTGCAACCAAAATACGAGGTGCACATCTACATGTTATAGTAGTCCTATATACAAAATTTCAACGTTCCGAGGCTACTCGTTTTTGAGTTACGCGAGATACGGATGTACATACGTTCGTACAGATGCCACGAAAAATTCTCTTCAGAATTCATTTTAAAGCAGTTTTATAATTTTTTTGGAGGAAAAAGAGTTTTATTCTGTTTTTACGTACAGACATCACGCAAAAAAATTGTTAAATTGCATTCGATAGTGGTCGAAATGGATATTTTCGTTGAAATATGCTGCATGAAACTTTTCGCGATTACAATACTTCCTTTTTACTTCGTACAAGGAAGTAAAAACATTTTCCTAACTTGCATCGTTTAAGGGAAAAAAAAAAAAAGACACTTTAATAATAATAATTTAATAATAAATGAAGGCGATATCTTGGTTGTTGTGAAGCTACGTTTCTCTAGATTGGCAACAAATCTACTACCACAGAAAGTAAACTGCAACCAATTTCTGAAGACTCTGGATTAAAAGATGAAACAGCAATTGGATACAGTTTTGAATCAGCATTATTGCTTCCATCTGTAGAGAGGCAGAACGGAGCTGTTTTAATGCAATCAATAAATGAAGATTTATTTTTCAAACCCATTTTTTTAACAATTGCACCTGTTTTGGTTCTTGCACTTGTTGTTCTTAGCGATTTCACTATTGGCAAACATTTTTCTAAATAAAGCTGCAGCGTGATCCGATGCATTCAGTGGCAGGTTGTGCTCCAGTAAAAAAGCAGAGAACAGACATTCTGCATTAATAACTTTTCGGTCCTTCGTTTCCGAAGAAAATTTTAATTTTTCGTTTTTTAAAAAACAACTTATATTATCCTTGTGTTTTTGTGTACGCACATTATTTGAGAACATCCGTCCTTCCACCATGCGAAATCGAAACGACAGGCGGTACACAGAGCAAATTTATTACATTTCCTTGAGAAAATAATGGAAGGAAAGTCAACTGTGTATGATTATTGAAACGTACACGAATATTTCACTTTTCTTGCAGACGTAACAAAAGATGATAATTTCTAGAAATATTTCCCGAAGGCACGTACACAACTCAGGACAAAATGAACGAAATAACTAAAGAACATCGAAATAACAACTTGCTTTGTTCTTATTGGCTAATATATGTCAGCTGACACACAGTGGAGCTCGATGCCCATTGGAGAACAACGTTTCTGGATACGTATACTGAAAATTCAATTGCTTTCACACGCCCAAAAGCACTTTTTTTTTTGTTCATATAACAAATATTAAGCCAAGTTGCATAAAAATCGTGAGAAATTTTAAGAATACGAAAAAGTCGGGAGAAATATATTGTAAATACGGTTGGCGGGAGAGCGGTCGAAAATCTGCAGTCTGCCGCTTAAATCGGGAAAGTTGGCAACTCTGCAATCCTGACATACGTCACTCCTATTTGGGCCACTGCAGCCGACTTTCCCCTGAAGAAGATTCATGCGTTTCAAAATGTCACGCTTTGCAACCTCACTTATATCCAATGGTACGTCCAGAATGAAATGAAGTACTACATTCTGACCTTAACTCTTTGAAATCCAGAACCTTTGCTAAACTGTATCCTCAAAATACCGAACCGCCCGAAATACTTTTCCAGTTTCACAGCAATTTCCTTCCCTAACCGTCCATTGATGCAGAAAATAGGTGTAAAGATTCCAAATAACATCCTTTATACTTTCTAACAAAGATTCCATTAGCCTTTGACCCCGTTCTTTATAAAACTATTCTGAAGGTCAGATTAACAAGCCTTTCTGGCTTCATTATGATCACACTTAGATTTTGTTTTTTTCCCATTATTTTATAAGAAGGAATAAATTGATTAAAAATAAATATAATCCTTAAATTTTTAAACTGCAATTTTTTTTCCTGTTAAAAGCTAAAATGCACACTGTACCACGAAATGTCATGAACAAGCACTTTTGCTTGCTCATGACATAAGAAACCTTTTAGGACAAGCTGTCTGCAGTAAACTGATACAATGCATTTGGGGAAAGTGCACCTGCTACTGCATACCTTAGAAGGGAAGAAAACAAGATTACAATCTTGACCGTTTTTGGGCGGTTCTGGTCGTTTCAATGTACGGCCGTATTGGGCAGATTTGTTGTGAAAATTAAAAGTTCTTTCCTTAGATGCTTTTTTTCAAGTGTGCTTTGGCCAAATTCTTTAACTATATTGAAGGGATCAGCAACCCACTCTTACATTCTATTCCTTCATACGATACCGCAGAATGCTGTTCTGCCAAGTGATCTCAGCTGTCATGGACAGATCTTACATCTTCCCTAGGAAGTCAAAAAGGGTTTGTTTGATTGACTGGGAAAATAGTATTTCTTCTACGAGCCTAACACAGCTACTACTTAACTTTAGGCTAAACACTTAAGGAAATCAATATGAATAACTTATAAAGTGACATAGCATTTAAGTTTAGTGGTGGATGGTAACAATGGTAGAACGCTGCCAAATTTTGAATTAAATAAAACATTTAAATTCATGTAACGACTACACATAATTTTTCCCCCAATTATGAAGCATTAAAATAAAAGCAACCTTTAATTAGTATTAGGATTATTTTAGCAGTACTGGAAATTCCATGCAATTAATATGAGGTTCTAAAAATGCATAACAGTTTTGCAAATCAATGTAACTTTAGTTCCGCACATGTAACACTGCTGTATTTAATCCAGTTTTAAACACCAAAAAATGTGCATAATTCTTTCAAACTTAGGTGTTAAAATGTGACCTAAAAAGTTTTACATTGTTGCACATACCTTTAACGACGTTTAAATAATATTCCACAAGAAAATTTTTTAGATACACTATAAATCTAAATAAACTACAGAGTTCTGTAAATCATACCTTCAGCAAGTTAATCTGATGCTCGGCGCAAAGTGCTTCAACAAGTTTTACATAGAGAGGTTCGTCACAATTTGTAGCTAGCACACACAGTAATGCCTGACGTTTGTCTAGCGACTTTGCAGCTTCATGAAGACCCCTGGATAATTTTCCATGTGTTAATGCTGTTTTAAGAACTTCTTGGAGAGCGGTATTTACGTCCATTTCTCCATCGCCACCCGTTCCTTCACTAAAATAATCGACATTTGTACTGGCGTCTACATCAACTTAAAAAATTTTCTTAAAAATATACATACTACAATCTAGAATACATAATACTTTCATGTTACTGTAAATGCTCATGAATTCATTTACAGTACATTTATACAGATCAATACAATAATATACAATAAAATACTCACATTTCTATGTCCGACATGATTATTCTTCTGCAGAATAAAACAATTCCTCCTAAAAATAGAAATTCTCTTTAACAAAATTTCTATAACGTTCATTAAATACGATCTACGAAGAAATGGATGAATAGGGATTATATTACTTCCAAAATTATACCTTCTTTACACGTTTTCCGCTCTCCCTTTCGACCATTAAAACTTTATGGAATAGGCTTTTCACGTTGTAATGTTTTTCTGCTGCTGCTGTTTATATCATATAGATAAGAAAAATATTAAAGGAAAATTCTGTATTCTCTACTAATAGTTTTTAAGGTTCTAAAGTAAAAAACATATGTTCATTTTATTAAAAAAATATTAAATTTCAAAAAATCAGAAAAATTTCCATTTTATTCGTCCCTGTTTTATACGTTTATTTAGATCTGGCAACAATCGCTTTGTCCTACCCTTGCTCCTTGAAAATCTGTATCACCGTATTTGAGAAGTTAAATTTTCCAAAATGTTTTCTACAATGTCTAAAACTGTTGTTTCCAGCATATTTTGCAGGAACTTTTCCTCATCAGCAAAGGTTTCCATGAAATTTTTATTTTAAAGTTTATATTGTACTGCGTTTTCTTATACTGAAATTTAAGGTGTATAGTAAGCTTGGATAAGCACTTCATGCGAGTACAAAAGTCAATTCATTTTAAATTTGTCGTTATGATATTTGTTCTTCGAAAGTTCAATTTTTTATTCTTCATTTCGATGTTCATATTTTGTGGAATCAAATGTAATTTTGTAAATCAACCTGTGTCCTCTTGCATTACTTTTATAAGATTTTGTGAATTAAAAGTTTTAGATGATTTGATTTGTAAATGCGCTATTTCTAGAGCTCGTGCAAGTTTTATTTTATTGTGTATATTAATGTAACTTTTATTCTTGCTATTATCGGGCCAAATTTATTCATCCGTACAATTTTGTTTAGGTTTCAAGGAAAAAATGTACAGTGCTGCATTTCTCCTCTTGTAGATAGTTCTCAGTTGGCTTACTTGTAATTAATATTTTAAAAATAGAATTATTAGTTTAACTGTTGATTCATTTAAAAAATTGGACTTTTATCAAGCCTTACTTTTTTTTTTCATTTGATTAAATTTTGGAGAGAGAAATCATCATTAAAGAATATTTAGTATCTTAAATAAATGCTTTACATCACCTGTAAAAGTACTTTAAATATCAAATGGTTAAGTGAATAAAGTCATTAAAACCACTGACATTGTCTCATCATATCTTACCAGTCTCAATTTCTGAAATAAAGCTGGTTATAATGCAGATATAGATTACATCATTTTAAAAATAATCAGTTACTTTGCTGTGGATTTAGTAGTTACTTGAAATTGTTAAAGGAAAAATTACAGAGCCAGTATCGAAAAGAGTGTATAATTAAGTAAGGGAGGGGAACTTAGATTGTCATATATATTTTAAGTAAAATGGCATATTTTGACAATGAACTAATATAGTTCCTTCTCCTTTAGGAGTAAGAATACTTCACCTTTGGAATTAATAGTTTTAAAACCTTTGCCAGTGTAAGCATATGGGGGAGGGACTAACGTAGCTTAGATAGTTTTCATGTGGCTGAGAGAATATGATATCGGTAGTTGTAATACTGTTGGAGATTCATTATTTAATCTCAAAATAAATTAATTTGGCACTTATCTATATTCACTTGCCACACATTTTGGTAGGTTTTTTAGGGTAATCTTCCATAAGCTGGGTAAGTTGGTGCCAAACTATTTTGGCCTTCAAAATTTGTCGAATTTTTTTGGCTGCAATGAGAGTGCTAAGATGTGATTTTTAAACGTAAACAGAATGGTATCTTTCAAGTTTTGCAGTAGTGAAACGCTGTTATTATATGTAAACAGAAAAGTAAAATGAGATGATAAAATGCTAGATGGGTAAAAACAAAGTCCATCAGCTTTGCAAGTAAAAACCTATCCTTATCTATGTAATTCATGATAAAATAGTATAATGAATAATAAATTGTCTAACACTTTCCTTGTACTCCATAACTGTTAACCAAATAAATATATTCAAATTCACTAACAAAGGATGTATCATAAACTCATTAAAGTATACAAATTACTATTGTCATGGAATTGCATATACTAAACAACTTTTGTTCAAAACTTTAAAAATTCCACATCTTTGGATTGTGACATGCAAGAAACATAACTAAAAAAAAAAAAAATAATAATTAACTAACCCAGAAAACATTAACTAAAAATTAAATGAAAACATTCATAAATTATAAACTTCACATCATCTGAAATCTAACATTCTCAAATCTAACATTCCTCCTCTTCTTAAATAGTAAACTTTTAAAAACATTGCTATTCGAATTAAATAAGTAAATTTTAAAACCAATCTGGCTACACTAAACTCCGTATGCATACAATCACAAATAAATAAAAGACATCCTAATTCAAAAATTATTGAAGTTAATCTGTTTTTTAATTATAAAATAATTTGTACACTGTGTGTTGGCAGTGATGGCATTAGATTATATGTCAAGCTCCAGAAACGTGGCAGGTGCATAATATGTGAATAACTATAGAAATCAATCTCGTGTCGTCATTTATTCTCTGAAGATTTTTTTTATATAACCCTTGCACTTGTGTAAAATAGGCTTAGCATTATTTCTTGTAAAATGATAGAGTTTTTTTAATGCTTATTTTTAGAACTGCAAAAAAAGCTGTGCTTGGATGCGTAGGGGCATGTCCAGACAATGTCACTCATAACGTCAATCCTCTCCTCATCTCATCTCCTGTATGCTATGCCCATACCCCAGGTTTACTGGCTCATGACCTGAAATCCCATACTGCAGCTAAGTTGTGGTCCTACCTTTTATATTTAGTTGTGTTTTTGATATTTCATGCTGAAATAATTTCTGAAGAATAAATTATTGATGAACTTTTGATTGTAAATGATCACTGTAATAATAATTAATATTAAAAAAAAAAAAGGAAGGGGGGGAGAATTTTGCTAATAACACAAATTCATAGTAAACACAGAAAGTATTTCTGCATATTTATATTAAAAATAGGAAGCAGAATATATATATTTTATATCATAATTATAGTCCAAAAGCATAACTGTTCATATGAGTTAAATGTTAAAGATTTAATTTTGTACACTTAGAATTGCATTTATATATTATAAAACTGTTGCTAATTAAGGTTAAACATGTAAAATTAATATAGTACAGAGTCCGAGATCCAGATTAGCAGGATTTTGGCGAACCTATATTGTGGAAATTTTCAGTTTATAGATCAAACTCAGATCTAATAAGATTATATGAAAAAATTATAAAATAAAAATATTAAATGGTTATTTGTGAAACTATAAAGCATTTTATGATCTTTTGAGAACGAAAATTTACATACACACACAGTCTCAATGTTAATGGTTATTTTGTTTTATTAAACATTTCCTCAAATATGAATTGTTTAAGTATTTCAGTTTAAAGTTAAATAAAAAAAAAAAAAAAAAAAAAAAAAAAACAAAAACAAATTTTTTTTTTTCATTATACAGCGTTTTGTTGTGCAAGTGTTATTTTGGTAATGCTATGATTACTATGGTCCTTGAAATAAAAAAAAAGTCTATTCTCACTAAAATTTGTCACTTTGCTTTACTATCAGAGGTAATTTTTCTGGAACCATGCGACGATTTCACCATTAGTTGATTGGATTGGGTCTTTAAGATAAGTGCTTTTTTTTCAGGTTTATTTAGCATAACTATGTTTTTTAATTTCCCATTAACTATAAAATTCGCTGGTTTTTTTATGGTAACTGAATTTGGCCCCTTTGGGCGATACTTGTTTTTTTAGTGGAATAAATATAACTTGTATCGATTTTGGTGAGTGAATGAGGAATTCATGAGATTTTTCATGTGACATTATGGTGACGATTACAATGACTTTAATCGAAAAGGGGGTAAATCCTGGAAAAAATCTGGAAATTTTTGTATTTTAGCTTATTTTCTGTGTTTTGTTGAAACTGTTGGTTAATTTTTGGATCCCATGGCCCTAATTAAAAAATTCGAAATGGGTATTTAGTGGGCGCAATAGTATGTTTTTTTTTAAAGAAAATAGTCGTTATTTATTTACACTGGGTTAGCTGTATATTTTAATTAATGGAGTTATTTTTGGGAATTATCGATGTTGTAGAATTTGGGACTTTATGGGTCAGTTGAAGTAGGTGCAATGGAAATAATTAGGCTATCTTTTTGTGGGAAATAATGGTAAACGGTAGTTTGGTGTCGACTTTTATAATAAATTACTCATTTTTTGGTAAAAGTTTCAATTATTGTTTTATTTTATACGTGAATTTTTTTTTGTTCACTTTAAAGGGTATACGTTTTACAATCAGGGAATTTCATATACTTTTTTTATTATAGGTAAAGTTCGGACAAATTTCATGCCTTTTTCTGGGATTTTTTGCGAAAAAAGTGAACAGGGTTTATACTTGTCAGCGCATTGTGCCAATTTTGTGCTAATTAGGGCAAATGGTTTTTTTAGTAAAATAAGTCGAAAAACTGGTTTAGGCTTCTTTGGAATAATTGTACAGGGGGTTTTGTTTAGGCGATTCACTGTTTCTTTATCAGTAAATCATGGAAATGGTTAAAGTAATCTTGAATGCCATTAGTTTTGGCGAAAAAATAGGGCGATAAAGGTACCGTTGCAGTCTTAAAACAGGTAGTTTGGCGACATTTTGATAAGGCGATAAAGGTTACTAGTTAGAACTTTAGCAATAATCTGAGATGTACAGAGTTCCAAATTTGCCCTGTAAAAACAAATTTCTGTGCACGTTTGCACTTTCTAGAAAATTCCGATCGTGATTTGGCTAAAGTGCAGAATTGCCCACTTTTTTGTTTGCCGCTTTTTACAAGAGTAAGGAGAATTGGACTTTTGCCAAATTTCTGTGACTTTTTAAGTGACAATAGGTCGATCTGTACACGGATAAAGTCAAGAGTGTGCGCAATACCATTTTTGTGCAATTCCAAAATGGCTCCAAAAAAAGCAGCGGGCGATTTCTGCCCCTCCCCGTTATTTTAGCTAATAGGCTTAGAAAACGATTTCGCACCTAATCTTTGTCAGATTAAGCACTTTTGTTCTATAAGTTCTAGCATAACGTAGTTCGGCTAGCAATTGTTGGGAAAATTTGAGTAAAAAAAAAAAAACCTATCTTTGGAATATGGTAACAGGTAGTTTGGCGACATTTTGGTAAGGCGATAAAGGTTACTAGCTAGGACTTTATCAGTGTACATGGATAAAGTCAAGAGGGTGAGCAGTGCCATTTCTGTGCAATTCTGGAATGTTTTTTTAAGTGAAAATAGGTCGACGTGTACATGGATACCGTGTGCAGTTCTTAAAAATGAAGCAAGCAGTGGGCGATTCTGTACTTTCTCCTAATTTCGCACCTAATCTTCGTCATGATTAAGCACTTTTGTTCCAAAATGGCATCCAAAAAAAACTAGCAGGTTGCTGTAGCAGGGTTGGTCGTCAAATTTTCGCAAAAAAATCGCCAAGTTACCATAATCCGAAGATTAACCAAAAAGGTCTTTACTTCGGGAAAACAAAATGGTGTCCAAAAAACACTAGCAGGTTGCTGTAGCAGGGTGGGTTGCCAAATTTGCACCAAAAAATTGCCAAGATACCATAATCCGAAGATTCACCAGAAAGAATTCCCCCCATACAGTGTTGCCATAGCTCGCTTTGAAATCATTGAGTTTGTTAATCAAAAATTTGTTAAAGTGTTACAAAATATGAAATCGATAATAAAACAAATTTAAAATTTGGTCTTCCACATGCCCATATTCGTAGGAGGATTACGTCATTCAAAATTCGATGGCTCTATGTACCGTTGTTTTATCACAATGCGAGAAATGTACATATATTTATGCAGTTTTTTCATTATTTAATTTCTTCAAATATAATGCTGGTCTCTAAGATTTGGTGTCTACAGTTTGAAAAGTGAAACGGACATTTATAGTGATTCAACACAAAATCACAAAACGAAAATAATAGTCCTTCAGGGACAAAGCCCGTTTGGACTAAAAACTTTGCACAATCTTCAGGGAATCAGGACCCAAAATTTCACAACTCATTAGGTCTAACATCACAGACTATCATGAAAATCAGGACTAGGAAGTTAAAGGCATAAAACCTTTATTTTTGGACTAAAATACAATAAAAACTATTTACAATCAAAATAATCAAGTAACATCTTTAACTCTTTCACAACCAATCCACCCCACATGGCTCTACATTGAGATAACCAGAACCACCCGAAAACGGTCGAGATTGCAATATTGTTTTCTTCCCTTTCCCCTAAGGTATGCAGTAGCAGGTGCAGCTTCCCCAATGCTTTGTATCAATTTATCGCAGACAGCTTTTCCTAAGAGGTTTCTTATCTTTTGGTTGCTCTTGACATTTCGTTGTTGATTCATTTTTGAGTGTGCTTTTAAACTTTAATTAAAATGCACAAATATCACAAAGTTTTAACTCAACAAGAAATTGAGGCTATTCTTTTTAATTATACAGATGAGTCAGGTTTGGAATCAGAAGGCAGTGATAAAAGAAATAAAAAATGAAATAATTGATAATGAAGAAGAATCATTTATAGCAGAAGATGAAGATGAGCATAGAATAAATCTGGAAGCAGATGTTTCAGAAAATTGTTACGAAAAACCAGTAAAAACCTGGTCTTCTAAGGTTTATGATGCCGTAATTGCCGTCTCTATTTAACAGCTTTTCGGGACCAGTTCATAATTTACCTGTTGGTGCATCACCTTTATAATATGTAAAGTTATTTCTTACGGATGAAATTTATGAATTCTCACAAATACAAATAAATATGCTGAATTCTGTGCAAGAAAGCGTAGCACTGTTGATCGTCAATGGAAAAAAATTTCGTCCATAAAAGAAATATGGGCATTCATTACAGTCCTCCTAATGAGTTGTAAATTACCAAGAATAAGTGATTATTGGTCAAATAACACAATGCTTGGAAATGAAATGGTGAAGAAAATGGTTAATAGAAAGAGATTTTTGGAAATGAAGCATTATTTTCATTTGTCTGATAGGGAAACTGAAGTTAAAAACAGCGAAGAATAACTTTACATGTATGCAAAAAATTTACAGCTCCGTCATTTCATATTTCAGAAACAAATTTCAGCAGCATTTTGCGCCTTATGCTGAAGTATCAATTGACGAAGCACTAATTAAATTTAAAGGTAGATTAGGGATCGTGCAGTACAGTCAAAAGTCGTTAATTCGGACACCCATAATTCGGAATGATCTATAATCCGGACCTCAAAACTAAAAACTTTCTGCGCATGCGCCGCATTGACACATGCGCATAGGCGTTTACGCGTGCGCGTAAGACCTTTTACGACTGCGCATATGAGTGTGCGCAAGTGCAGAATACGTTTTCCCTCGCGTACGCGTTTTATGTATAAATGGACATATAAGCTAAAATTATCTAATTATCTATTTCAGTTAATGTTGATGATTGCGTTGTTCCTTAATTTTCGAATTGGATCCGGCTTATTACTTTTTTGCAGACTGTAAGAGCAATTTTATAAAAGTAAGCTTAAACTTTCGATTATATCAAATAGAATTTCCGATATATATTTGTTAATATGTAAAGGATCTAAAGCGAAAGTATGTTTTAAAATCCGAAATCTGTTTATCAATTTCACGCTGCTCGGCGGGGGGAACGCCGCCCGGCGGGCGCGTAATGAACTGGAAGTTATCTGTCAGCACTATCCTTATCTTCAGGGCAGATGTTTTTATTTTATTTGGCTTATAATTGAAGATCAGATGTTTTTATTTTATTTGGCTTATAATTTCTCACCAAATGTAGTATTTCATCTCGATATGCTCCGTCTTTGATATGATTTAAAACAAGTTCCTCGTCATTATAATTCGCTTCCAATAGCGAAGAAAAGTAACAGAGGTTATTGAAAACGAAAAAATTTCAATTGACAAATTAGTCGGTGTTCTTGACACAGCAATTATAGGACTTGAACAGCGGAACTTTGTAACTGAACAAGAAATTATGTCTGTTTTAATAGAATTAAAGAGAAAGTATTATCACATGGGAACGAAGCAAAACTTAAAACAACTTACATTGAAAGAAATGTTTATTTAAGTAAACAAATAAATATTAAGCTTTTTCTTTTTGCAAATTTTGATACCCTTTAGATCATAATTGTTCTTTATTTCATAAATTACGGTTTCATATTTTTAATTTTAGAATTTCTGCATGCCATCTTACGAGATTTAAACTGATGATCTATAATCCGGAAAAATCGATAATCCGGAATCGCCGAAGTCCCGACGAGTCCGGATTAACGACTTTTGACTGTATATGCCTATGAAATCAGCTAAGCAGGGATTAAAGATATGGATGCTGTGCACATCTCGCTTAGGATATACTTAGGATAACTTTGAACTTTATTGTGGTAAAAAAGATCAGATATCAGAAGGGTTTAGGATATGATGTAGTTATGCACTTAATAAAAGCACTTAAAAACAAAGGTCATGAAATCTATTTTGACAGCTTTTCCACCTACGTAGACTTGATATTTGAGTTATATAAATCTGGACAATTATCATGTGGAACTGTAATGACAAATCGGAAAAACATGCCCGAGAACATCAAGCAAATGAAGCTGGGAAATCAATACGACAGCATAATTATTCAATGCAAAAGCCTGCTGAATTTACTTTATTCATCCTGGCTTGATAAAAAATTGATACATATCATTTCCACAAACTGTAAAAATGAACTGTGTTTTACTACAAGAAGAAAAGTCTCAAAAAAAAAAAAAAATATAGTACCATGTCCATCCGCATTTGTCAAGTACAATAAGAATATGGGAGGTGTAGATCTAGCAGATCAGCGTCAAAAATATTACTCAGCTTCTAGAAAATACTCGAAATGGTGGATGTACATATTTTGGTTCTTTTTAGACACCGCAGTGAATAACGTCTGTATAGTTCATAGAGTTGCTAACTAATCAATCCTAAAGTGACCAAAGCAGGTATATGACTTACAGGTATATACAAATTAGAACTGATTGAAGAATCCGCATCGCAAAATTCGTTTCGAAAACAAACCTCAGGCATATTTTCGCCTAGTGCATTTCATGATCACAAATGTCGAAAAATTAATGGTCTTGTAAACGCACTTGTGTTCGATGTAAAGAATTATGAAAAAAGACAAACTCGGAGAGGTATATTGAAAGTTCTTTGGAATGTGATATATGAACAACATACTTGTACAAAACATGCTTTTAGGCTTCATTCCCTCGCTAAAATATAAAAAAAAGACGCTTTTCAGGAGCACAAAAGGCTCTCTTCAGGGCCATACAATTTCAGGTACAGTTCTCTTATCAGGACCAGATTCAGAAATTTATGTATGTGTTCATGTATGCATGCATATACTGTAAGTACGAATGTATGTGTGTATATACTCGTATATTTCTGATCCGGTTCTGATTACAGAACAGTATCCAATTTAAAAAAGTGAAAACATTATTGCACTATGACGAAAATGTGTATAAATGTGGAATGAACAGCAATATGTATATAAACATAGATACATTTATGTATGCATATATCTAGCTACAAATTTATATGAGTGATAATGTGCATATTTACTTATAACATGAAGAAATAATAATATACATATATAACTAAGTTAATGAAAACATGGAAAGACAATGACATTTATAAATGCACTTTGAAACTCGCACAATAAATAAAATCATAAAAAAAGTCTATAAACTACGGTTTATTCCTCACAAAGATGGGATCAAACAACTGATCAACAAATGGAAAGACCCTCATTATTTTTACAAAAGGAAAAACAAAGTGAAATAAACTAAAATGAAACAATAACGTACCACATTAACTAAAAAATACCAACTTAACATGAAAAGAAAGAAAGTACATGAAGTGAAATCTTAATCCTCTATTCAATAAAAGAAAAAACAAGAAATTCCTGTAAAAATGAAATTTTAAAAAAGAAAATTATTTATTTATGTTATATTCATCATGGGGTGTTAAATTAGCCCATTATATATAGCAAAGTGCGAGAGGATTGGCAAAGTCATGGGAGTGATTTTCCCAATGAAAATTGGCTCGTATTTATGTTACACGTGATAAATAATAAATATACGTATTTTGTTTAGCGGGGTCCATTTTATATCCTTTATAAAAACCCAAGAATATTTCGGTACTTAACAGAATTATGATAAAATATCTACTCATTGAACCAGAGCTATTTTATCATAAATTTTAAACAGCAATAAAAGTGCAGTTTAAAAATTTAAGGATTATATTTTATTTTTAATCAATTTATTCCTTCTGTAAAAATAAGGGAAGTAAACAAAATCTCAGTCGTGATCATAACAAAGCCAGAAAGGCTTGTTGGCCTGACCTTCAGAATAGGTTTATAAAGAATGGGGTCAAAGGCTAATGGAATCTTTGTTAGAAAGTACAAAGGATGTCATTCGAAATCTTCACACCTATTTTCTGCGTTAATGGACGGAGAGGGGAGGAAATTGCTGTGAAACTGGAAAAGTATTTCGGGCGGTTCGGTATTTTGAGGATACAGGTTAGCGACGGGTCTGGATTTCAAAGAGTTAATTAACTTGCCTTGTGCAGTTCACAAAAAACTCATTTTTGCAAGGTGAACTTTTATTACCGGAAGCAGTCCCTTTGTTAGGTGCACATACCCTTTTATACTTGCACACTGACCTTGTGACATTAAGACATTTTTTTGATAGGAACAGTCTTGAATGTTCACATCATGATTCTGAAACCATATGGAAGCTCTAAGCATAACTGCCGACATATATCTAGAACATGAGAATTCACTGTCTTTACAATAGGATGATTGTTTGATACATATATGCAGGGTGTTTGTTTTGGATAATATAGTTTATCAGCAAAAGAAATATCGGGTGGTCAAGAGAAAACTTGATATATGGCACTCTTGTTTTTTATTGAGTATCGTATTCTTCGTTAGTTTTTCATATTTTGCATTCTAATTATTAATTTTATTTCTTCGTGCATACTTTGATTAATTCAGCTTTCCTTCCATGCTCGTGATTTCTTCATTTAAAGAGTGTTAAGGAAACACCAAAACGCAATTAACTAATGAGCATAAAATATAAAATTAAATATTAATATTTTACATCAGAATCATATTACAAATACTTGAATAACCTAAAATATGCATTTTAAAGTGAATTAAAATCAATTTTGAGTTCTTTTGGAATGATACCTCTGTGCAACATGAAAATCTCCCAGAAATTTCCAGTTTTGGGGACAAAAACTTCCCAACTTTCAATTTTTCAAGTTTGGTAGCTATAATTCGACAGAATAGCCCAAAATGATTTAATTTTCTATGAATTAATAGAATTAATAAGAAATCTAAAAAAAGTGCAAATTAATTTATTTTTACTCTATCCTACATGAACCAATCTTTTACTGTTAGTACAAAAATACTAATATAAACTTTGTGACCATTATCTAAAGAATGCTCAAGAAACTTTAATTTAGGATATATTTTAAAGGTAGGGTTACCACAATTGTCAAGGATTAATACGGGGTATGTGTCAAATAAATAAAAGATGAAAAAAATGTGTAGCTGATATATTATTTTACTCTACAATTGTACTGATATTTTTATCAATCTAATAAAATAATCACTTAGAATAATAAAAATGATGCAAAGGTAATCCAGTCATATTTTAAAGTTGATGTGCTGTCTTAATTATAAAATTTTCTTTCACATAATTATAAAATTAAGTGCAAATCATTTTAAAATTATACTGACAAATCAAAATTTCTTCAGTTATCTCCATTAACAACCTGTTCCTTTCATCTGACCATTGAATTGAAATTAGGGAAAATATTCTCTCGGCATCTGTATTATGGGCTAGAATGGCCAATACCTATTTGCATAGCTTTGTTAGACATGATCTGATAGGGCAAATAATAATATGAGACCGAGTAGTGAAATGCTGCGAGACTCGTATATTTGGCATATATGGCAACCCTATCTAAAGGGAATGATGCAAAAAGGCAATAAAATTGCAGCAAATGTATTGGTTACTTTTTTCCTACTTGAAGTTGCATTTATAATATAAGGCCAAAAAGGAAATTATTTTTCTTGCAATATCTGTAATGACCATTGGATTAGCTTTTCCATATGTGTGCAAGATCAGGCAAAGAATGATTGCTACCTTTTTCATTTTACGTAAAGTTTTCTTTTGTTAGCGTTTAATTATTTAACTGAAACTTATTTTCTAATTTTATGATAATCTGGAAAGATGAAACTACTGTTAATATAATACAATATCATAGAGATAATGCAATTTACTAGCACACTGAACAGTTAATTAAATAGTAATATAAATAAATAATTATAGTTGATTATAGCTTGCAGAATTATAACTGAATTTGTAAAGTGCTTATATATTAGCTTCAAATACATGGTTTTTCAATGCATGCTTCTTTCCTAGAAATGCTTGCACATTAACCTGATGCCCCCTTCCCTTTCAAGCAAATTTTTGAAAAAGCTGGTCTGTTGTACATATTCTATTCAATCTATGTGCTCAATAAATGGGGAACACATTATAAGAGCAGGTAAAAAAAGAATGAGTATAAATTTATTACTTATGAAACACATTAAACAATCCAACTCAATAAAACTTTTTTCTGGAAATAACTGAAGTAATCTCTATCGAGTGTTATGCAGTTGGTGTAATGTGTTTTTCAATCCTACAATAAGCACTAGAACTTGGCATCTTCTTTAAAACTACTACTGCCTTCTCCAAAACAGATGTTGCTGAGGCTGTAGAATCATTAGGTTTTTTGAAGTAGGAGACATGCAAAACTGTGCAATGCCCTCACTGGGACTTGAACCTGGACAATTTGAATACATGCTGTGTGCTACTGTTGCACAGCGAAGGCATGCCGAAAGGCCAAATTGTGTTGGTGACAAATTATTGTCCACCATCTTTTAGTTCAAGCACAGCTTGTAGAATAATAAGTGGCTTTTTTTTTTTTTTTTTTTTTTTAAATGCAGGAGATAAGAACGCCAGGACTCAACCTTGGACGTCTTGAATATGTATTAAGTGTGCTTCCAACTACATCATGAAGGCATGCTGAAAGGAGGGCGAAAATAGAAAATACCTTATAAGGCAAAACACTGGCCTTGCAGCTCTGATTTCACAAATCGTTGCATAGTAGTTCAAGGATATAACTAAACATTTCTCGTTAACTGGATGGCGATGACCTAAATTTAGATGATTTTTCACACTGCACTTTCCTATTTGCTTTCAAGATCTTAGAAGTGAATCCAATTCTCACCTTGTTAGATTTCTAGTAGATCTCTCAATGCTTTCACCAACTCTCCACATATCACTGTAATAATTCTTTTCACACTTTACTTATTTTCAAGCAAATCAAGCTTATAAATGTCTCACGAAATGGCCAAGTAATTAAGGCTACTGAACATTGGTAGTTTAATTGAGTTTGAACCTTAGATGAACAACTGGCTGCATGGTTGGTTTTCATGGTTTTCTCCGCATGCAATGTGAATATGAGCCAATTATCCTTAGAAACTCTTTTACAAAGGCATTCCTCCCCTTAGGCAGATATCTCTTTTATGCTTTATCATATTCAAATAACCTAGCCTAACAAACTTTTAAAATGGCTCAGAAACAATGAAATTATAATTTATTTATTATATTTTCAATATTGAAAATTTAAGTCGCATTTCATATGGTGTATGTATAAAAAAAATAGGGAGAAATGTGTTTAGGATCCTTCAAAGTGAAGGAGAATCTTAAAATTTATTGTGTTAACATCAGGACATTAATTGCATCAACTTTTTCATTAGTGCATAAGAAAGCTGGAAATTATCTTTTTGGAATAAGGGGGGCAGTCAAACTAAGTATGTGTATAAAGTTAATCAAAGATATTAGTATATAAATTTAATTAAATTGTTTTTATAAATGTTTTGAATGTTATTTTAAAGCTTAGTCACATTTATTTTTTAGTCTATCAATATTTTAAAAAACAAACTTTTTTTTTTTTTTTTTTTAAGGCTTGCTTGGAAAAGTGTGATATTGTTGTCATTCCAGCTGGTGTGCCTCGTAAACCTGGTATGACTAGGGATGATTTATTTAATACAAATGCATCAATTGTTCGTGATTTAGCAGATGCTTGTGCGAGAGTTTGTCCTCAGGCTATGATCTGCATCATAGCAAATCCCGTAAGTGAATTTATGAAATATAGTATTGGCTTGTATTTGAATTATTATATGTCACTTATAAGTTTTTGTTGCATCTTTCTTCTGTTCTAACCTGTATGTGTCCATTCGCCTGATCTGATAAAAATTGTTGGAAACAGTACCTCCTTTTCTCTAAATTTTATTATGAATTTATTGAGTAGTGTTGCAGCAAATGACTTTTATATATTTCAAACCATTGTCCTACATAAAGAAACAGCGCATTCTTCTCACCTATCCACTCAATTTTGATAAAATTCAGTAAACAACAACAGAAAAAAACCCTACTATTTTTCATTAGTTCATAATAACTTGGTTTCATCTTATAAACAGTATATTTTGAATTAGACAGAGATTCGATCAGCAAGATCGACAGTCCATTGATATATTTCCTATGCATCTGAATATGCTGTTTAAAAAGATGTCATTTAAACAATATGTTTTGTGAATCGAACAGAAAATCTGTCAGCAAGATTGGCAGTCCACTGAGTGCATCTGAGCATACAGTTTGGATAGATGATATTCCTCTTAGGAAAGAGACTGATCATGCTGAAAAACTGCACTTTCAAATTATTTTATTATACACATTTATAATAATTTTAGACCATAATTTGTATTAATACTTTGTTACACACATTTAAAGTGAGCTTTAAACTTTACCTTACATTTGAAACTTTTTGAAAGGTAAAATATACATTTTACTCCAGATAATTTACGATAGCTGATTGCATTTACATAATAAAGTGGTTCTACTATGTCCTGACTTTCAGATGTTAATAGTATTCGTTCTTTATGTATTTTGATTGATAATGAGCTTTAAAGCAGATCTATAACCTTAATCAAATAGCTCTATGTGACTATAGTCACAATACTGTATTAAAACCAAATTGTAATGGTAATATGTTAATCAGGGTTCGTACGGTCCTTAAAGTACTTGAAAGTCTTTAGGTTTTATTTGATCCTTAAATATCCTTAATTTTGGCTGAAACCAGAAAAATGTCCTTTATTTTAATCATCTGACATTTTTGTGCATTTTTTTAATGACTGCCATTTTGAGTATGAATTAACATTTTGGAGGAATATTTTTTGGTGATGCATTGACAAATATGTGTTTAATGGGTTAATGTTTGAGTACTTTCCTACTTCTTAACATAAATGGCAGATACTCGAGTTTTAGGTATGATGCCCTGCTTCAATTGAAACACCAACTTTTCCTTTTTTGAGATATGAGTTCTTTTATTAGGTGGCACTAAATTTATTCACTTATCAATATAGTTGCGATTTCAGAATCAGTTTGTATTCAAAATTTTTTATTTAGAAATTTGTGAAGTTTTTGTGATTTTTTTGAACACAATAACACTGATAAATATCATAAAATAATGATAATAAATTAAAATTATATTTAACAATAGTATTTAAGTAAAACATTTTTAAAAGAATATTACTTTCTATTTTGGTGACTTCGTAATACTTTGATTCTGAAAAATAAACGAGATAATAAATGCTACAAAGCACGGTTTTTGAAATACTTCTTAGGAAAAAAAAATGCTACTATAATTACTTAAAAATTAATATGTCTTTTTTGATATTTTTTCATGGTAAGAGTTTTTCATATGTAACTGTTCTAGAATGTTTAAATGTTTGTCAGTTTCCTCTTGAAAGTTCACTTTACACTTCTCTTTTTAAAAGTATTTTTCAAAAATCTTCTGCCTTTTTCCTGTTACAGAGTTGGTAAGGAAAATTTTTCTTTTAGACTTTAGATCTTGCACCTCAGACACAATTTATAAATTTTTATTTTGAAGACAAGATTTATAGACCTACAGTTTCCAGAAAAATGTGGTTACATGAAATGTACAACCTCTGTCCAGAAAGTTAGGTGAATGATGTTATAGTGCTCACGGACCTAAGAATGTGCAACCGGCGCATCCAGAGCTGGCAAGATCAAGACTGATCTGAATCAGCTCCTGAGTAGTGGTGCTGCAGGTATGTTATTATCTGGAAACAGCTCATCCTAGAGTGAATGCAATGTGTGTGCAGTCGAAACTCAAAATGGATCAGCGAACGAATATGCTGTTCTGTTTCAAACTTGGAAAATCAGAAAAAGAGACTTGTGAAATGCTGATAACAGTTTATGAAGAACATACTGTCACCTTGAAGTGCATGTAAAAATGGGTTAAATGCTTCTTAGAAGAGTGTTACACAATTGAAGACTCCACTGAAGTGCTCGGCCTGCAACTGCACGTACCACAGACAACCTAGAGAGAGTGAAGGAATGTTTTGACCCAGGATCATTGTGTGACAGTGTGAATGATAACGGAAAAAGTAGGAATTAGTTGTGAGATAGCTCATCTCATAGTGGCCCACAATTTGGGCAAATGCAAGCTTTTGCTTCCAACTTATGCCCCACACATACTTTGATGCCAGAACAAATGCAACTTTGGCTTGATGACTGTGGAGACCTCAGTGACATCACAGGTGATGAGAAAGCATCTGAAATCTCGCATCAAGACAATGATCGTGCTGTTCTTCAATTTTTGAGGGTCTCATCCGTAAAGAATTTCTTCCTGAGGATATAGCATTAAGTGCTGCTACGTACGTGGAAATACAGAAACGTCTGCTCAACGGATCAAGTGGGTACATCCCAGTACACCAAGGAAGGCAACTTGACTCTACTCTATGACAATGCCCGGCCACTTACTGCCTTTCTGTTACAGCAGTTCCTGGCCAGCAGGGGAGTTGTGTCCCTGAATCACCCAGTCTGCATCCCAGACGTGCCTCTTCCGGACATTTTCTTGTTCTTCAAAATTGGAATCAGCCCTGAAGGGCCAGAGGTTTCTGGATAGCAATGGAATATTGTGACTGAATTGAAGGCCATCTCTAAAGACAATTGTGCCAGGAGTTTCTGGGATTTGTACAGATGTTCGCAGATGTACATTACCACCAATGGGAATTACTCTGAAGAGAGGTAACAGCTGCTTTATATAAGACAACAATCCATTGTAACTATAGACACATTCATCGAACTTCCTGGACAGAGGTTGTATCTTCATGGCTATTAATATGTAATGGATGTGTTTTATAGAAAATTTGTGATGAACCATTTATCTTTTGAGAATTTTTAGAAGAACAGTGAAAAGAAAATTATTTGAATTTTCTCCTTTTGATACAAGAAATTTTTATTTTTTTGTGTTTATCTTCTCTTTATTTTTTTATCTTTCTATTATCTATCTTTTATTTCTTATTGTGTCTAACAAGCATCAAAGAAAGCAGAGAAACTGAAAACTGACAGTGAATTAAAAGATTCGTCATATATGTCTTAGTATATACCTTCATACATACCTGAGTGCCTGCCACAGTTTTAGAAATTTTGTCCTAAAATTTGTTGCTCAGTGCTTCATTAAATTCTAAAAAGTCTGCCACACTGGTTGTGGCACCGGTCTTTATGTCATTTCATATTTATTTTTAATACTCATTTTATTAAAGAAATAAAGTTAGCAGTTTCTTCTATACATTCTAAATACAAGCAGTACTTTAGAGTAACAAAAATCTTTAATTAAATCTAAACATTCTAAAATGAAGAGAAAGTTCATTGAAAAAGAAATTGGTTTTATAAAGAGAGAGAAAATTATTGTTCAAAGGTTCATTTTTGAAAATAAATTAAGAAATGAAGCGGATACTGATGTGAACATTGATTTGTTTACTGAAATAGATAAGCTTCAAAAAGATGCTAAAGAGAAGGAAATTGATGTAAATTAATTAAATTATCTGGAAAATTTTTCAAGTTGAAAAGATGCATAAACATTTTGTTGTTACTGCAAAACTTAAATTCTCTGTAGCTTTTAATGTATAGTGATACTAATATCATTTTAGAATTAAAAAAAAAAAAAAAATTGCAATTATAACCATGTATATGTAATCTATTATGACTAAGAATATCTTAACTATGTAATTTAATTATATGTAACTAACTGCTCACCCTTAGAAGTTATCTCTTTTCCTTAATCATTATTGGGACCACCAACGGCCAAGTGGTAAAATCACTGAATACTGGCAGTTAGTTTTGGGTTCGAATCCTGCTGAATGGGCTGACTACATGGGCGCTATTGTCGTTTTCCCTATGTGTAATGTGTATACAAGTCAACTTCCCTTAGAGAGTCCTCCACAAGGCATCCTTCCTTTAGGCATATAGCCATCAGGTGCTTTGGTAATTAAATAAACCGAAAGCTTTATCCTTATTGTGTATGCAAGAGACAATACAAAAATGTAAACATTTATTCTTTACAGCTAATGAGACTTAAAATAATAGAAAACAATCTATCATCTCTAATACTTCGGTAGTTTATTGGAACTTAATATTAAATACTGTATATTAACTGGGTTATAACTTCAGCAAATCTATTAAGCAGCTATGACACTAACTGGGTAAAGAGCAACTAACTTTCAACACTTAATAACATCAGATGTTCACGTCTGTTCTGATCAGTGGCTGTCTGTCTCTAAGCAGGCAACTGCAGTGACAACAGCCAAGCTTCTGCAATGAGTAATGCTGATTGTTATTTTACTTCACAGTTTAACTTACGCCACTTAACATAAAATTTCCATATACCTCTAGATGGAGCATGTATGTGATGAAATGAGGCATAAATGAAAAAATTGATATAAAGCTAAGAGTTAGTAGTAAAAAGTTGTTAGAGTTGGTCTCAAAACACGGCTGTGGCCAAAATTTCAGCTGGAGAAATTCTTTCTACCCCTTTCAGGTTGCAGAATCATTATCTGATAACCTTCCCCTGCTTCTTGTTCAATGACTTTCATCCATCACATCTATGGGGTCTTGCAAATTCCTTTCTATTTTCTTTCAAGAGTGGAAGGTTAGCTCAGGGCAAAAAGTTTCACGCATGATTCACTTGCTCTCTAGAATTCTACACAAGTAGCCTAATAGTACTTATATTCATATGCAAATGAGATATGCGTGCATATTCAACACAAACATGAATGGTAACGTGTATATGCTAATTGTGTACGTATGTGCAAACAGATATATTACAGGCACACGTAGATAAATGTGTACACATGTGCATCTGTGTTAAGTATCATGTATATGATAATTGAGTATGTATATAGAGAGAGACAAATAGATATGTCTATATGTGTGTGTGTGTGTGTGTGTATATATTTGAAAGTCGCAGCTTTAAATTCAAATATTATATTAATTTATATTTTCCCGCATTATAAGTTTTATTCAAAAATACGAAAGAAATGAAATGCGATAATATTCTAATTATTGGTGATTTTATGGAAAGAGCCCAGCAATAATTAATATTAAATATTTGCTTTCTGTTTTTTCTTTCATTTTTAATTTTTGAGTTTTATTAATTTTAATAAGTTTCTCACATTTGCTTTCTGTAGTTTTACAGCATTTACAAAGATTTAACTTTTAAAATATCTCTCATTAAATTAGCATTTATTCTTCATTTCTTAAGAGATTTTCAAAATGAATATTAATAATGAAAACACAGATACATATACATCCTTTTGCTTCTTTCTTGTAAGAAACTGTACGTGTACTGATAACAGTCAGGTCATATTTTCGGTCAGTTGAATACTGCCTAGTGACATATCAGTGAGGTTGATACACACTGGTAGTTCTGAAAGGCTGTATACTCTTCTGTAACTAAATATAATTTCTCACACCAGTGGCTGAGCAGTAAAAGCCAGTGAAGACTGGCAGTTTGGTCTAGGATTTGTGTCCTGATGAACGGGCTGGCTGCATGGGCGTTTTCATGTTTTTTTTTTCCATGTGCAATATGGATATGTGCAAATTTTCCTTAAAACGTTCTTCTCTTTCTGTGTAGTGGGCGGACCATGTAATAAATAATAATAAATATAGTCATTAAAACATTGTTATTTGTCCATATAGGCAAACAATGCTAGCATAATTTTGCATACATAATCATAGAATCTAATTGATCTATTTTATCATATTTCTTATTTTACCGAGAGGCTGAATTACTTTTCAGCACATCTCTCTCCCCCCCCCCAAATTAAGAATTAAATTGTCATTACTGTGATAAAGTAATAACAAGAAAACTATTTTAATAACATTTGTAAGCTTATCATTCCTTATGTTTCTGTGCATGATGAAAGTACAAGCAAAATTCCTGCAGAAGTGACCTGCAAAACAGCATCTATATTTTGACATGATATTTATTTGTTTATAACAATTCCAATTTTTATACACTTATATAAATAAAAATCAGAATATTTGGATTATGACCAAGGACTGCACAAGGAAGAAGGGGGCTTCCTGGAGGACTTTTTTAAGGCAGATTAGCTGGTATTCATATTACACATGAGGCCACATGCAGCCAGCTCACCGAAATGTGAACCAAACCTAGCTATCAGTGTTCATCGATTTTACCATTCATCCTCTGGTGGATCTGTATAGATAAATAAATAAAAGTTTATTAAATCCGCTTGAAATTTTATGATAATAGATTTCAGTTCGGCAATTTTTTTTATTGCCAAATTTTATCTTTATATTTCTCATTTTTATTGTAATTTTTGTATTTAATATTGCTGTCTGAAGCATGCAAAATGCAATGCAATACAATGAAAATATAATCAATAAAATATTTTTTTTAAACTAAAGGAGAATATTAAAAAAAAAAAAAAATACATTAAAGAAAGGAAAAAAAAGAAGCTTTTATGATGCAAATGGAAGAAGGAACAATGAACAGTGAGTAGTTGAAAGATGAAATAAATACAGTGCTTGCAAAAGTTAATATTCCATCATTCAACAATTACTTCAGCTATAAAATCTCATTTTCGTGTGTTTCCTTAGTTTAGAGAAAAGAGACAGCAGAAAAGAAAAAAATTCCTTTGTATTCCCTAGTCTCTTCTCTGAAAATTAACAAAGACAACCCCTAAAGGAGAGGTTTCCCTTCACAATGGCAGCTAAAAGGGGTGGAAATGCATTTTGATTCCCTTCCTGTAAAGTGAAACCTTTCCAAACTTTACAGTCTTTTAAAGGTTAAAATATGTGGGACTCTTAAAAATGTAAAATACAAATAGTAGGTTATATTTAATAATCATTTATTCCACTTACAGATTTATTTTATTTTTACAAATTACAAAAGTGGTTATGCATATGTGAAGTTCGGGTGTAGATAATTGCTTTAGTTTAATCAGTTTCTATTTGCTTCTGCTATTCATAGATCCTTTTTTTTTTTTTTTTCCCATTGGTGATCCTTAAAAGTACTTATTTCCATGTGTAGGAGCCCTTGTTTATGTATCTTTAATAGTAATAAATTTTTATGCTGTTTAAAACTGTTATTGATCAGTATTTTTCTCTTTTAGGTCAATTCTACTGTACCTATTACTGCAGAAGTATTTAAGAAGCATAATGTGTTCGATCCAAAGAAAATATTTGGAGTAACTACATTGGATGTAGTTAGAGCCAATGCATTCATTGCTGAGGCAAAGGTACTTGTTTCGTTCTTCTAAAAATGATGAGTTAAATATTATATGTCTATGCCATATTTAGTCAAGTTTCAATTTAGATTACTCAGTTTATTATTATTATTATTATTTAGTTAGTAAATTTCATTAATATCAGCACAGGGGTTGCTGGGATTGATCCCTAAGTAACTAAAATAAAATATAGAGATTATAGATATTATTCCTGATAGCTGGAAGAGTTGGTTGCATGAGTTGATTTTTTATGTGTTATATAAATGAACACAAAATATCTGTGAAAGATATATCTTTAAGTAGATAACATTTGAATGTGTTGTAATTAACTACCTAGTATTATTATTATATAAAGTAAATTCTGCTTAGGATACCATTCATACAAAGTCTTTGGTAGGAAAATAAAATTGCATTTATTTTGTGAGTTTTTTGCTTTAGAGATTTGTCTTTCTAACATTTTTGGACATTTGTGTTATATTGATTATCTACATTATACTAAACATAATATCTTAATTTATCTTTCATGTAGCCTCCTAAATAGCCAGTTTTCAGAATGTTTCTGTTCATCAAAACCTAAGATCTTTAATGTGCCTTTCAATTTGCAGAAACAACTGAATGAAATAAGTGATATACTTGCTTAAAAATAATTAAAATATTTATTTTTAAAAGTATATCTAATTGATATATTTAAAATATAATATAACCAATAGATAATATCTATGATCATTTGTAGTGTTGTTGTAATTAAACGAAATGCTTTTAATGTTACTGTGGTTTTGAATTGTTTCATTTTCATTTGGAGAGACTATTGATTAAAATTAAGTTAAGATCTCATCAACTGTGTCTAAACCTTTCTTATATTAGTATTAGCGTGCAAGCCCACTGGATGAGGAGGCTGCAGCCAAAGCAAAAGTTGTAAGTTCTATGTATCCCTGAAAAGCAAATGTATGAAAAAATGTCAATATGAAGGAAATTAGTTCATTCTTTCCAAGAAACAAAAAATTTTGACCTTTCAGGTTAATCATGGTTTAAATTTAATGTAATATAACATTTTCTCAAAATTAATATAAGAATTAACGTGGTAATAGTATATATATCATATCAGTTATACTAACCAGAAACAAAGTTGCCAACAGCAGCTGGCATTAACAAACAAGTGAGGTCACATGCAATCGCATGCTTTCTTTGTCAAAATATGACCTTATACAGTTAAATGTCTTTAATCCAGACTCGTCGGGACTTTGGCGACTCCGGATTATAGATCATCAGTTTAAATCTGGTAAAGATGGCATGCAGAAATTATAAAATTAAAAATATGAAACCGTAATTTATGAAATAAAGAGCAATTATGATCTAAAGGGTATCAAAATTTACAAAAAAAAGCTTAATATTTATTTGTTTACTTTATTAAACATTTTTTTCAACGTGCGCATGCATAAATCATACATTACGCATAGTCGAAATTAGAAAATTGCAACTAGAAAACTATTTGATGTGTATTCGTGATATTTATAATGATGAGGAATTTGATTTAAATCATATCAAAACAGAGTACATCGAGATGAAATATTACATTTAGTAAGGAATTATAAGCCGAATAAAATAAAAACATCTGCCCTGAAGATAAGGATAGTGCTGACAGATCAACTTCCAATTCATTGCGCGCTGCGACGTCCCCCCATTGCAGAGCAGCGTGAAATTGATAAACAGATTTCGGAATGGTTTGAGAAACAAAGGAGCCTTTATCCATTTTTTGCAGCAATTCCACTTTTTGTTTGATGGACATCGAAACATGCTTTACCTTTGTAGATCCAGCATCAGAAATTCTATTTGACATAATCTAAAGTTCCAACTTACTTTTATAAAATTGCTCTAACAGTCTGCAAAAAATAATAAGCTGGATCCAAATAGAAGATTAAGGAACAATGCAATCTGCAACATTAAATTAATTAGATAATTAGATAATTTTAGCTCAGCTTATACTGTCCGTTATACATTAAATGCATGCGCAGAAAGCGCATGAAAGTATATTATTTACAGAATTTACTGCATATGCATACATAAAGCTTACTTTTATAAAATTGCTCATTCTGCAAAAAATAATAAGCCGGATCCAAATAGAAGATTAAGGAACAACGCAATCTGCAACATTAACTGAAATAGATAATTAGATAATTTTAGCTTAGCTTATGCTGCCCGTTATACATTAAATGTGCATGCGTAAAGGTATTATGCACATGCGTTAACGCATTATGTGTTGATGCATGCACAGAAAGTTTGTAGCTTTGAGGTCCGGATTATGGACGTCCGAATTAAAGACTTTTGACTGTATAATAATAATAATGTGTTTAACGTTTGGCAATGCTATTTTTATTTCATATATTATAAAACTTACAAATTTTTTATTAACAAACTACAATTTGAAAATGTACAGTAGCAACACTTCTCGAAATAAGCAGATTTTTTATCTCCAAATTGTGTGGCTGTTGCCACTCGGAAAAATGAGATCGAAATTTAGCGTTTTCAATGTTTTTCATTAATATCTCGGCTGATTAAAGTTGTACGAAAGTGAGAATTTTTTAATCTTTGTTGGGATAACTATATAAAGAAATCGCACATGAACAATTGATTTAAGCTAAGAAAAGTTTATTTCTTTACTGAAATCTGATTTTTGCAGATGTTTAATGTTTCTAATTGTTCCGTGGTATTTTAAAATCTTTTTCTATAAATGTGATCTATTCTATCTAAATTCTAAAAATGTTACGATCACCTACCACCAAATTGTACTTATTATTTTTGAAAAATACTTTGCCTTTGTTTATAAAAGTAGTATTAATTTGCAATAACAAGCTTTTTATATACATGACTTTAGAAGAAACTTGTTGAACTTTTAATGAATTCATTTGTTAGGTTCATAAAACGATCAGTAGTTTCTAAAGGAAATGAAGATGTTACTCTAACATCTATTCCATTCCATTCCAGAAGTGTAATAAACAAAAATAAAATGAAATTGATGTTAATTGTAGTGTTGGGTAACTTTTTTTTGTAATACTATTGTTGCGTGCGTACGGTTTCGTTACGAAATGAATGCACAAGTCCGATGAAAAATGAACAAAATTTATTATTATCACAACAAATATGCTTAAATTTTCTCCAATTATCGTGCAGAATTACAATATCTCACAGTAGTTATCTTTTAACTACTCAAACGTTCAATAGAACTTAAAACAGCTAAAAGCTAATCCGCGAATTTGCTACATTCAACAAGAGCAGTTTTCTAAACAACAATAAACTAAGTAACTCCTACGAACTGAGAGGTTTTCCTCCTTTTATAAGATTTTAAAATCGCACGTGAGAATTTTCTAGTACTTTCTCGAAATCAAAAAGAGATATTTATTAAATGTTACATGCACGCGCTCTTGTATTTTCAATTTTCCGGCTTAGCTTTCTTTTTTTAATATTCGTCACGCGTTGCACTTCGCGGGAGATAAAACCATTTAATTTACAATTCAACTAAAGTTAATTATTTAAATGCCAAATTCGTAACACTATGTATGGGTTTTTGCATTTAGTTTTTATGCATTTTTTAAAAACTACCTTATATAATTATTATTATTTTAAGGGTCTCAAGTTAACTAATTTTTATTATAATGAAATCTCTAGCCATCATTTTTCAGTGGGATTGAAGGGGAGGGGAAAATTAAACAGGAAACTATTACACATTGTAAATAAGGTAATATAAATATTCAGTACTATCAACATGAATGCATTACATTAAAAAGGCTGCTGAAACTTCATGACTACTTACAATCCCACCAAAAAGCTATGTACTTATTGCAAATTTCGAAAGTACTCACAAATTCATTAGTGACTAATTGTTTGCCAAGCTAATGCAAAAAAAGGAAAAGTCTTTTCAAAAATGGTAGCACATTAAGAATTCCATGCAAGAGCAATAAAAAATTTAGAAAAGCAAGAAACATTAGTAATAAAATATTAACATTTTTGAGAAATCCTTTTTTTGTGCTGCTCTTTTCCCCATGTTTCCTATTTTCACTTAAAAAACAACAGAGAATTTCACAAACTCAGCTGTTGATCGTACAGGGATCGAAACAGATGTGCTGAGTGCATATGTGAGTTCACACAAATATTTCATGGCAACAATCATTGGTTGCCACATAACTCTTTTGGTGGTGTACTGCATTGTCTCATGAATACTTTTCACAACTTTTTGGCAGGGATGCAGATAACCAAATACAAAACCATTTATCAAAAGTGTTGTGCTCTGCTTCTTGGCTGAATTTTGCTTCAGTTGAAAATATGACTTTTCAGGATATAAAGTGTTCTCGCTATCTGCCATTTCTCTTTAGGGCAGTGAAAAAAAATTTTTGGTAAAGCCTTCTGAATTTTGGCTTCATTACTTGTTCATTTTTGCCATAATGATCTTTTTCCATATTCCCTGTAGACTCAAATTAAAAATTCAGCAATAAACCAGTGAGAAATAACACAGACTTATTGTAACTTAGTAACATTTGTTAATGAGGCTGATAATATGGATGTGGAGCTAAGGGCTACATGCAGAGAGTTAAAATAATCTAAAAAGAAGATAATGCAAAGAATAAATACATACTTTTTAAATGTTTTTCCCAAAGGATCTGTATACTTTGTTGGAAACATGATTTTTAAATGATCAATATGCTTTGTTTGGAGAACAGTGGGTGTAAGAGTTAACCTTATTTATATAGGACATTGAGACTAATACTTTATATGATATTGATGATACTTTATAGGAAAATGGTTATTAGGGAATAATATACAGTCAAAAGTCTTTAATCCGGACTCGTCGGGACTTCAGCGATTCCGAATTATCGATTTTTCCAGATTATAGATCAGCAGTTTAAATCTGGTAAGATGACATGCAGAAATTATAAAATTAAAAATATGAAACCGTAATTTATGAAATAATGAGCAATTGATCTAAAGGGTATCAAAATTTACAAAAAAAAAAAGCTTAATATTTATTTGTTTACTTTATT